CACACACACACACACACACACACACACACACACACACTGAGCAGACATGAGAACATGATAATAATTATATCCAACAATCAAGAGGAAATAACTTCAAAAATTCATGCAACCTTTTATGAATCACGGTCGTGTGTAAATGTCAAGGCTTTTTTGTGTGTGTGTTGAGCACATGTATGAGCTTTTTTTCCACACACAAAGACACCCTGTGTGACAGTAACCTTAGCCTTTTCAGCTGACGCACCACACACACACACACACACACACACACACACACACACACACACACACGTATGTACATGTGTGAGGCTCTGATTGAACCCTGACCCGCCCTCTCTGTGCCGTTCACTTACCTTCACCCCTAAATCCAGCTCTAACTTTAGCTCTTCTCCTGAATCCTCACAGCTCAAGTGAACCATAAATTATTTTTTAAACTTTCTGTTCAAACTGTATATTAAAACAGGCAGCAAAACATTTATGTTACATGGTAAAAAAAAAAAGGGATAAAACGGGGATTTATGTTTGTCTGTTTAGACCTGTGATATATGCATCAGTCCATTTTGTCCATAATGTTTAAAGCAGTTGTTTTGATCTGCAGAGCCTTTTTCAAATCTTTACAGGAAAGATCAAAACAYATGCACACGTCAATCACTAACGTAAAGCACATTGTTTGCAAACGGCCTCCAGGTTTTTACAATTCCCACAGCAACATCAAATGCATTTCTGCTGATATAGAGACTAGTCATTTTTTATCTCATCACTGTTAACAGCAGGGTCAGTCAGAGGCCATCACACAAACTGAGACCGCTCTGCAGCTCGGTGGGATTCCTCTCATCAGCCTCAGGATCTCTGGTTCAAACAGCATCAGAACCAGCTCAGTGTAAACATCGGGCCCAGACACTCCCTTCATAATCTCTGACCCTGGTGCACCCTCCCACCCTGGACATTAAACACCCCCTCCTCCTCACCCCCCGCACATCTAGGGGGTCTGCACAAGCTCAATCACACACTATCAATCAATAAAATGAACAAGGCTCAGATAGAAGATTCAGGAGTTGTCAGTGTAAATCATTTGAATGCATTTCAGCAAAACTTCCATTTGCACAAAAAAKGTTAATTGCTACTAAAATTTTCACACATTAAATCAGATTTTCTCTCATATTAATTAGTTTACCTGTTTGTAATTAATCTTCTAAAAGTTCCCCCAACATAAAGTTTTCAATTAAATAAAAAGATTAGCAGCATTTAAACTCATAAAAACAGTGAGAAAATCAAATGTTATAGATCAAAAGCATCTGTGAACTTGATTAAAACTCCACCTGAACATTTTTCACTTATTTTCTGTGACAAAGACAAAATGTCTTAAATAACTTGGACTGYTTAATTTCTGGCAGTTATTTACAATTTACTGCATTTTTTTTTTAAAAAGTGTAATAACACTTTAAAACAAACATGGAACTATCTCATAAGCCAAAATCCTCTGCAGGTGTAAAATAAGTTTTTTTTCTATTGTTTGATTTTTTATTTTAATTTTTTTTTTTTTTTGCTCTTTATGTGTGTAAACAGGGAAGAATAAATCTCTTACTGTGTAAAACAATGATGAGGAGAAGCAGCGCCAGCATCTTCATCGTGCTCTGGAGTTCGGTTCCGCCCTGAGCTCTGGAAGAAAACTGGGTTCTGAGGGGTGAAAAGTTTCAACTCCCTCGCAATTTTTCTTTTCTTCTCCCTCCCTCTCTCTCGTGCTCCCTTCAGTTGGACAACTGGGGTGAGGGAGGCGAGTGTGCATGCAACAGAAACACACACACACACACACACACACACACACACACACACACAC